ATTTTTTTAAGTTGGCGCCTTTTCTCTTGAATTATTTAAAAAAATGTTTAAAGTTGCTGTTTGGGAAAATATTGTTAAATGATTTTTTGCAGAAAATAGAAAAATGCAAAAAAAGTGCTTTTGTCTTTGTTTAGATGAATTGTATTTTCTTTCATTTTTCATGGCAAATACCTTCTGACTTTAGAATTTATATAATAGTCTGCAAAACATATTTATGTACAGTTGGTTATAGGTCATAGGTCTGTTGATCTAAAAGCCCATTCCGAACAATCCTGAATGAGTCTTCAGTTTGTATAAAACCGGTATTTGCACTTTTCATGAAACCTCACAGTTGAAAAAGAATGGTAGGAAAATGTAAGCTGGCTTTGGTACAGAAAGTGGCTCTTCAAGTTTAAAACCACAAAAAACTTTGTTTGAATTCAGAATATTACAATGGATCTTAAAGGATGGATCCATCTCCATCCTTTGCATTCAGAGGTGGATGTGTGATACAGGTGGTACCGTGTGACATGTGGATGGGTGTTTTCTCGGGAAGAACTGGGGTTTACTGGAAATGGTGACTGCCTGGAGTCATGGGGTATATTTCGCCTGTGTCTGCAGAGTCGTCATTTCTCTGCTGTGCTTGCCAACAGGGTGTGTGTTCTTGTGGAGTGATGTGTAATCCTCTCCGCCAGAACATGGAAGCATGACTTCAAGAAGTTTTTAGCCTTTAGAAAAAAGAAGTGTGTTGCCTATCCAAAGTTAAATGGTTGCATGTGGGAGAAAAATGCTCAAATGTTTTATTGAAAGTCTGAAGCTAAAATGGGGAATACAGTGTAACTGGGGAGAAGTCAAGCTGATGATGATCTATTCCCTTTCCTTGTGCAGCTGGAAAGGTTGAGAATGAGCATGATGATTTAAAAGCAGTTTGTGAATATGGCTTGTTGGTTTTTGTTTTATTTATTTGAATGTTAAATACTGCTGGAGAGTACAGTATGAGCATGTGCACAAGGGTGAGGGGAGCATTTCTTTAAAAGCTCTTTAGTATTATAATCCTAGTTTCTGCTTCAGTGGGAGTAACTGGGAACTTTGTTGAAGATGAAACTTAATCCTAGAAGAAAGAAATTCCTCTTAATTTATTGGATCTTAATTAAGATCCATTAAATGAATCCTAAGGGCAGGGGATGTCTTTCGTGTCTCTACAGCTCCTGGCATGCAGGTGGCCTGTTCCCTGTGTGAACATTTATGTTTTTTCAATAGAACAGATAATAATAATCTCATATGCCCTCTTCTAATGCTAAAGGACAGTTGTGAAGATCTCTGAGAAAATTCTGAGTGTGTATCATACTCTCTGAGTACGGATGGGTTTTGGGAGTGTTAAAAGCAGAGGGAGAGCTCTGTCTGTGTCATCCCTCCTGTTGACTTATGCTCTGAGTTGGAGTGCTGGGAGCTAGCTCCCACCTAGTATAAATCAATTAATTTTAACCATTGACTTAAAAGCTGGAGAAGATGAAAGGGGGAGTCAAAGCGAGATGTTCTTCGTGGATCCATGGTGGAGAAGCATGCAAAATGCCTTAAAAATAGAGCTAGCCAAATAGCAATTCAGCTAAAAAATTGAGGTCTCAGTTTTGGCCAACATTGCTGAATTTGTCATGTTTCTATAAGGGCGTAAAGTTGAGTCTGCAAGGAGCTTGTTAATATCCTATCCAGATCCATTTGGAATCAGGTGCCAAGCTGCAAACAGCAAGGCCACTTTGGGAGTTCTGAAGACTGTCTGCATTACACATGCAACGAGCCTAGTCTTGCTGTGCTGGTGATATAGAGTCATTCTGTATGTCATGATGCATATGACTAGATCAGATAGGCTTAGTGTCAGATCTGTTGTGCATTACCTTCCTGCCATCTTTCAAAGCACAGGCATTGTCATTTAAGTGTGAACTTGCTTGAACTTCTCTGTAAATTCACAAGCATCTCGTGGATATAAATTATTATGAGATTGCCAAATCCTTTTCTTATGAATGTGAGAGTCATGCTGAGTTTGATATTTTGTTGGGAAACCTTAGGCTTTCTCTTGGCAGCATAGTAGAAAGGTGTAGTTCTTGCCCAGCAGCAGCTCTTGCATTACTGAGAAGAATGGACATCTGGATGCATGGACAGGTTTTTATTCTGTTTTTGCTTTCTGTGTGTCATGTATTCAGCCTACTTTCTGAAAAGATACAGTTTATTGGAAATTATTAAAACTTTGAAACAGTGTTACAAGTTTATGCATGTAAGCTAATAAGTACAATGTCTATTGTGCAAACAAAATTTTTCATACCTCTCATAATTCATACCATTTGTACCTTAGAGAGGTCTGGAATTGTAGGAGAAAAGGGAAATAGAAGAAGAAAACTGAAATACTGAATCTAGGAGCATTGGAATCTGATATTAAATCTTGTTCTGCCCTGCCATGGTACAACAAAATCCAGTCAAAATCTGGGCAAGTGCTGGAGTCCCACTTGTCTAAAGCTTGTGATGTCCTTTCCCAGGACTCATGGATTCATGGCACTATGTTTCCTTTAAAGATCCTTCCATGGAGCAGAGCAGTGCTCTGTAGTTTTTGGAAATTTATGGAGTCTGTAATCTAGAGAAAGGAATCTGGAAATCTGGAGTCTGTAATCTAGAGAAAGGCTTTGTGGATCCTGGATGGTTTCATGCTAGTGCTCTGGCTTCATGAATGCAGCCCTGGTTGGAAGCAAGGCACGTGTGTGCAGGCAGGCGATCTGTGCTGGCAATGGCAGGGGGCAGTTGTGTAGCACTGCAGAGCAACTCGTTGTGGGTGACTGATACTTTTCTTCTTTGATGCTCCCCTGTGGACCCAGAGGTACAAGTACTGTATACCTCTCTTGCAATTTAGTATTTACTCTAATAAACATACTAGCGAAAGCAAACAGCAAAACAGAAGTATTTGGAAAGATTCAGAAACTGTGGAGGCAGTGTAAAGGAGAAATTAAATGAGGGTAAACTTTGAAACAAGTCAGTATCACAGTTTCATAGGTTTTAATGGAAACACGTGCATTTAATATAAAGGGGAAGCTTTAGGAAGTGATAGTGCTAAAAGATTTACTTACAGATGGATAGATTATTAGACCTGGTTTTGCAAAGTCTTGTAATGATTAAAAAAAGTCAGTGTGGTTTTGAATCCTGAACTAAATTTGGCTACACACACACACACATTATATATATATAATTTTTTTTTCTTTTTTTAACAGAACAGTTTTTCGTCAGAAAACACAAATTCATTGAAGAAGCAACATTTTTATACAAATATGGTAGATGAGGGAGATCTTCATTTGGAAAAGATTCCATATATCTGAGGTTATTCTCTCTTATTTCCTGGTGGTGGTTGTGACATACTACTGGGCATGAAAAATGAATTTTTAATTAAAAATTACTATTAAAGTCCTTGGTCTGGCTTCCTCCTGTAATCCATGCTCCTAAGTGAATACTGGCTATTCTGCTGCTGGACGTGATTCATACTGTGTAAATTATTTACCGGAACAGGAACTCAGAGCTGGGTTCTCTTCATGCTGAGTGAGTGGGCTAACCATGTGGCTGTAGGCAGCACCTCTGCCTCTTTATGAAGACTGGAACAACTGTAAAAGAAATGGAGATCCCTGTGGCCACATCAGCCTGGGAAATCATTTGAAATACATTAGAATTGGGAGATAAGGGGATGACAACTAAGGCCTTTAGTGTGGGTCCTCTAATTATTGACTCCTTTTCTATGAGGAATGTAATCTAAAGGGTTTATTCTTGTTTTGGTTCAGAATGCAGTATTTCTTTTAGGTCTGAGATTCAATATATTGTCTGCCTCTCCTGTCCTCCACGTTTGGGCAGAGCTTTGAGTTTCCTTTCTTGACAGGTTTATCTATCAGTATTTTGTGGGTTTTATGTGTTTCCTAGACAAATTGGCTCATAAATCGGAATTTTGAATGAAAGTTAACTTTTAGTTTTCAATCCTGAGTGTTGCAGTGGTCAGGAAGATCAAGGCTCTGTGCGAGCTTTGGTGGCAGAGTGTGCATGTAAAGGTGGTTTTTTTTTCCCTTTCCTCACTTTAACGTGAGGTGATAATGGAAAGTTTCTTTTCCTCTGACTGCTAACAATCTGCACGTTGATGCCTGATAGCAAAAAGAGTGCTCTCAAGGTTACCATATTTTTCATATGTATATACTGTGGGTTATCTCTGGCTTGAGAGTTTTGTTTGTTTTTAAACGCGGGCCAAGCCAAACCCTGCGGTTTAGTAGCAGTGTGTATTGTGTGTGCAGGGATAATTAGGAGAGGAAGTTTTATTCCAGGGTTCCTTCCTCAGTAGTACCCAGGTCTCTCATGGCTTGTTTGCTCTGTGGAGATGAGTTATCTGTGAACTCTTTTTTATAAAATAACTTTTTAAGGGCTCCAAGTTACCTGCAGCAGAGGTTATATATGTGCAAATACAGTGCTATTATTCTAGGCCTCTGGGAAATTATTGCTCTAAAAAAAATATATGGAGGCTACTAGGAATGGCTGTTTCGTGACGTACTATGTACTGTTTGTAACTTTGGGACTATAAAACTTGATTTGCTTGTCAGTCTAAGCAGACCTAGTACACAGTAAACAACTGGTGTAGTAAATCAAGGTGCCATGCGCTCACCACAGAAGTAATTTTCAAACAAAATATATATTGCATTCAGTTAGGAGAATATGTGCTAAATATCCCCATTATAAATCATAAGTCAGAATCACAGAAGAGTGATTAGTCAATTTGCGGGTATTTTTCCATTTATATTGCTCTGTAAAAATAAATAGTTATTTTTCATTTCTTTATTGTTGTTGGTTACAACAAGATTTATTGACTTGGGATTTACTAGGAGCCAGCAACTTTTCATATTGTTGATACTTTCAGATTTCTAATTGTATTCCTATAGAACGCAAAAACAAGATAAGACATTTATTTCCTTTTAATTTCCCTCCACCACTCCCTATTTCCCATCTTTTCACAGAATATCTCCATGCATAACACAGTTGGAGGAGCAATGGCAGGACCTGGATCTCACCAGCTGACAAACACAAGGATGCCAAACCATGACACCAGCGTTGTGATTCAACAAGCCATGCCGTCTCCACAGTCCAGTTCGGTCATTACGCAAGCACCTTCCACAAATCGTCAGATTGGGTAAGTCCATTTCCATTTTCTATTTCTCCAGTTCTCTGGTTCCAGCAGCTGCATGTAAGACCAGATGTTGTCCTCGTGGTTCTTAAGGTTCAGCTGCATGCAAGACCAGATGTTTGCTTTGTGGTTCTTGAGGTTACAGAGTTTGCACTTGAACCTGCTAGCATGTGGCAAAGGACTCTTGGAACATATGTTGCAGACTATGGGGGAATGGCCAGGTTACTACATCTACTCCAGATCTGGCACTTAAGTTCAAAAGGGGCAGAGTGCTGTACTTACAGGGAAGTCCTGCTTTCTCCATCCATTTTTTTGTTTTTGTCTGCTTACATTCAAAGTTTATGTTGTTTTCATAACTGCTCTGGGAAGAAGGAGTGTTCTGAAGCTGATTCTTTCAATTCCTTCAGTGAGAATTGTGGGTGCTCAGTGGAACTGGGCTATTTCCTGTGTACTCTGTATAACTGAGGAATGCTAGGAAACAAAATAAAAAGACCATCAAGATAAGTGGAATTTGGCACAGCTACCTCTGTGAAGAGTTGCTCAATTTGTGATGATGGATCAATATTTATTCCCATAGACTGATAGTATGGATGCTTATTGCACTGGCTTGAATGCCAATTGTGTGCTCATGTTTGGAGAACTGCATGTACAAAAAAATCTTATGTGTCTTGTACACCGAGTTACTTCCATGAGGTCCTCCTAAGTTTCAATAACTTGTTTTTAATTATACAGAAACTGCCCAGATGGTTTGAGGGTACAGTTTTTAGTCCCACAACTCTGAGAATTTTGGGGGTTTTATGCCTGAAAACATATGGATAAAAAGATAACTCAGTGAACTGTGAATAAAGAAACAGTCTAGATTCATTATCTGTCGTTTGTAATTTGGTCACTTCCATTACATGATAAGTGTAAGAGCAGTCTCTGTCCCCAGTCATTGTCTCAATAATTGATGAGCAACTTGCAGTCTCTTCAGAGTGAAACCAGAAAGTGAAATCCTGGCATTGAAAACTCAAAATCCAGTTATCTTGAGTTTTCTTTCAGTATTTGTGATGGCTGGGGCAGGATATAGACCACAGGCTCTCCATCTCCCAGTGGCAGGCTGGCAGGGGCAGCCTGTGGCACTGACCACTCCAGAAGGGTTACCCAGCCATGCACAGGACACAAATTCCATCCACTGCCCAAGTTCTGTGTTCCTGGCAAAGCTCATCTGCTTTTGTTTTTATTACTATTTCAGGATTTGGTTTTTAATATAGAAATCTGATAGTATGGGTCAGGTAAACATATTTGACAGATGTGCCTTTGTGTTATGTTACAGATTGACAAAACACAGTGTTCACTGAGATTTCACGTGCAATACCATTCATCTGTGAATCCAGGAAAGCTGTTGTCTTATTTATGTCCCATTCTGTTCAAAGACAGGGGGCTGGGAGAGAGGGAGGGAGGAAGAAACAGTTTATTTTTCAGTTTTAGAAAGTAAAACAGCTAATGCCATTATTTGGGTTAAGGATGATTAAGCTCCTGTTCAAATTGTGACTTAATAGGTCTAGTGGTAATTATGATCCTAATTAAAAACAAAAAAACCCCAAACAACTTTTAATAGTCAGTGGTGAGGTGTTTTATATGGGACTGTACTTGGCTTCCAAACAATTGTTTCTGTATAATGAGAAAAAAACCTACACATGGTTTTGCAAGACCCTGTCAGTCAAGTTTTAGGTTTGTGTTGGTTTGGGGCCATGGTGATTAGAATCTCCAAAGTTGGAGGGGTTGAGGATAAAAAGACCTATTCCTAGTCAGTGGTGAGTGTCTCATTTGGGAAATTTTGTCATGACATATCTTAATTCTCTCCTGTTATTGAATCACACAAATGTTTTCTAAGTCTGAGTCTAGAGCTGCTCTACTGGAAGGCAATTGTCAGCATTCTAGTCTCTGTGTAAATTGATGTGTGAATGAGACTTATGGTGTGACCTCCAGTATACTCTGTTCCCCATTCTTCCCTCTTCCTAGGAGGTTTTAGTTTCTGTTCATGGTGTGTCCTAGGAGATAATTGCTGCATTTTGGACTTCATCTACTTGCCAAAGTGTTGAGCATCCTTGTTTGCCTTTTTTTCCTTCACACTTTTCCCTGTAGTGCCTGTTTTATTTATTCAAAGAACATATCTTGTCATTTCCGTTTATCTTCATCTTATCATTCTAAATGTGCTAAGAATTATATCCAAGACTCATTCATAAGGAGTACAGACTGGACAATGGTTTTGATATTAGGTAACTGAAGAAAAAAATCTAGGTGGATTCAGAAAACGTTTGAGTTCTGCAAAGTTTGGTTTTCGTTTGGCCTTACGAAGTTGAGATGGTTCAGCTATTTAACAAGTCCACATTCTGAGGTGCTCAAATCAGTGGTTTTGGGTTGGGTTCTCCATTTTTTTAAAAAACACCTAAAGCTGCCCCAAAGGGTAGATGAGTCTTTACCAAGGAGAATTGTGCCAGGGAATATGCCTTTTAATGAGCAATAAAAAAAGCAGAGAGCAACTGGGTAAAATTCTCATTGAGCTAGTTCTGTACGAGCAGGATCAAGCCCTAAAGTTTATATAGAAACCATCTTGTAGCAATATTCTGATTTTTATCACAACCACAAATATTTTAGTGTCAGACTATGGCCAAGCCACCTGCAAATGTTTGTGATGGCCTTACTCCAATGAAAACAGGGAACAGCAATGAAAGTCTTCATTTAGACCCTGCTCGTAGGCTGTGCTCCAGTAACAGAGAATGGGACCCACCTGTGCCCGCACACAGCTCGTTTCATGGTGAGGAGTGGGTGAGTTTGCAGCAGCTGATGTTCCTGAGGGATGTAATTTTTCCTTACTTTCTTCTCTCCTTCTCTTTTTCCTCCCTCTTTTTTTTCTGTCCCCTACTCTGGCTCTGGGGGCTTGCATATAAAATGAGATACTGACATAAGGCATGGGAAAACATGACCCAGTGAGTGTTGTTGGGCAAGCCTTACTGGCACAGTGTATATACACACATTGTTTCAGGTATTAAGCTTCAGCTACTACTGAACAGGCATCTAGCCAGATTAATCAGAAAAAGGGAAGAGCATGAAGGTTAATAACTTAAAAAATGAGATGAAGTGCAGTCCCACTTTCCTCCTGCCATGTACCTGGTTGAGAACAAACAGCAACATTATCATTACAGCAAACTGTCAGGTTGGTATAAAGGTCTCAGTATTTACATGGTGAGGCAGTCTCTAACCTCCTTGCCATCCCTCCTCCCAAAAGCCTTTAGCATGTGGGAGGAATGCTGTAACTAGTAACTACTTGTGCTGATGAAAAATCAGTTGAGGAACACTTAGCAGTGAAGGGTGTCTTTGGCTGATTAATAGCACATAATTTAGAGATAAGATACATGGAGGAAAAGCAGTAAGGCATATGGAGGAAGAGGAGAAAAAATGATATAAGACATACATTTGTCAAAGGTAGAGAAAGGCAGATAAGCTGAATCAGCTCGAGATATGGGGCTCTGAACTAGGCTGTATAATAGCAGTTTGTCATATTTTTTAAAATAACTCCTTTTTTTTCAGTGATTGAGTATTCAGCAATGTGTGTGAAAATTATGGTCAGACAGATTGGTGACAGCACAGTACACTGCTTGCTTTATCTGGGCATGTGTTTTGCTGGGTAAGGTGTCTTTTTCAGACCAGCAAAGACTGTAGGTTGCTGCAGCCTAACAGAGCTTTCCTGGAGAAAGTAACCTGTTGCTGTTTTTCAGACTAGTAGCAGACATAACTAGTAATTATTTTAGCTGGAACACAGGAGGATTCAGGATTGTCACAGATCCAGCAAGTTGTTAATACTGTACTAAATACAGAGGGAGGTGCAAGTCCAGTTTTTGTGAACTCAGGCTCTAAAATGGACATAGAGCACTAACCATGTGATGTAGGTTATCTGTTTTCAAAGTGTTGTAGAGCATTTTAATCAAGATAAGATGGTCTTCTGGCACAGCATCAGAAGGGAAAAATTGCAACCATGTTTGGTGAAATGCAAGCAGGTAGGAGAAGGCAACAAAAGGGTTTTGGAAGATGCCTTTGGTGCCTTTATGTACTGAAGAATCATGGTACCAGTGGGAGGACAGCCTTTCAGTCCCCACATGCAGTATTAATTTTAACACCTATGTGTTTGCTTCCTGTTCCTCTCTCTTCCCTCTCATCATGCCTTATGTCTCTCTCTCTTTCCAGTTTATCATCTTTTCATGGGGTTGAATGCTTTCCAAACAGAGGGGCATGGGAGATGGAGTGGTCATGAAAACTGCATGTAATGGGACTAACAGAAGTGCAATGACACAGAACAGACTCATTGTGACTGGCCTTGGGGATTTGGAAATAAAAAAACTTTTCAGCGGTAGTCTTAATTTGAGGGACCTGAGATGGCAGGACAGGCCTCCTCTCTGACAAGCACAGGAATTTTACCATACCAGCAAGCTATCTGAAACTGCAGCTGCTTGGTTGAGTTCTGAGTATCATCCTTTATAGCTTGAGAAAAGAGAAAAGACTCCTGTTAGAGATGTTCACCAGCAGAAATCATTCCATAATGCAGCTAGTTCTGGAAGGCACTTGGAACAGGCTGATAACTCGGAAGGGTCTTTGTACATGCCAGAGAAAGTCTCTCTTTAAGCTCTTAGTAAGTTGGAGGAGTTTGTGGCATCAAAGAGGCCATGGAATGATGTGCTTTCATTAAATTCAAAGACCAGTTCCCTTTCCAAGAAACTTGGGATAAAAGCCTCTGTTCCAACTTATGTATTTGAACTGAAGCACCACAGGATGTTGTGAGATAAGAAGAAATGTGCAGTGAGAGGTGAAGTATCAAATGACCTCTTGGTTACTTGGATTAGGTCCATTCCATAGCCTTGGTTGCACAGGATGTAAGAACGTGACCTAGATCACTGGAGGGGGAGGGAAAAGGGAGAGGTGGGAAGAGGGAGCATCTGACATGTTGTTCTGTCCAAATATTTTTTTTCTGCC